AATGGGCAAGGGGGGAGAGAATGTGTGTTGTACTGTCAAAAAAAGGCATCATAGAACCTAAATTCGTCTTGTCCAGAAGAGACAGTGTGCGCGCTGAACTCCACTGATGAAGGATTTTCAAGGCTATTGATGATATTCCAGGAGGACTGCTGGGTGGGAGTCAGTTTAGTTTTGATTTCCTATATAGATCTAAGAAGCGTAGATGGTTCTGTTCGGGGAGAGTTCTTCTGTAACCCCTTGGATTGGCTTTTAAAACCATCAGCCCATCAGAAGAAGAAAGCTGAGGTAATCTGTTCTCCTAAGGAGTTACATCCTCAAAGCTCAATATAGGATGGCTGGGTGTTGGAGGTGAGTGAATGATAGTGGGTTTAGGTTTGCTATGTACCTACAGAGAAGCCTGGGCTTGTAGTTGGTTACTGGTTGGGCAACTAACACAGGCATCAGAGATTTGAATTAAGCTGCAGCTCCACATCAGTAGTATGGTTGTGTGCTCCAGCACAATGGCTTCATATTAACCCACAGTGAGCCTTTTTCAATATTAAAATTTCAGATATTAAAGTATAGGTTTCCTTATGCCAGAAAAACTGAATACAGTGCACACAACTCTGGGACAGAAAAACCCCTTTTAACTGAGAGATGGTATCAACCTTGCCTTGTGCTTTGTGAAAACTGTGACTGGTTTCATGAATGTAACCTGGCAAGCCAACGAGCATCAGTGAGGGAATTTCTTTTGTGCATGAAGTAGAATTTCATCTTGTTTTGTCTAACATCTTTGTGAAATTTCCCTCAGGTAGACATTTATCTTCACTTGTTTGATTACTCTTTCCCATTTGAAAACAAAAGAAATAGTTAATTGTGCATGCAAATGCAACTTTAATCCCTCCTGACAAAATAAGTGAACTGAATTTCCCACTTAAAATGACCCTTGTTTGGAAGAAATCTCATTGGTTAGCTGGAACCAATGGAAAGGTCTATTAGTGTAAACACTGAGTGGGAAAGGGTGTGGTCTCCAGGGTCCAATCACAGGGCACCTGGGAACCTAATGCCATCTTCCCCAGGAGGGCCACAGCTTGCACACAACTCCACTGAGTGCAAAGTCTTCTGAAATCTACTGCTCCGCTCCCTGGAGGCCCTGGTTCCTGCACTGATTTCTGATGCTCCACTTCTGCAGCGCACACTGAAAAAAGTCTTGGCAACGTCTTCAGGTGAGCACTCAAATTCTATTCTATTAATGTTAAGGAACTCAGTTATGTGTGGCATCCAACGCCCAGGATTTCTCCCTCAGAATAGCTGGTGCTTCCAACTGTGAACCTGGTGGTTATCAGGTCGAGTCCTAACCACTGTGCACCAGGACTCCTCTGTTAAAAGTGGCAGTCCTCTAACCTGCCCATGACATTTCATGAAACCCGACTGCAACAGCCTCTATTCTGACATCCAGCCATGGACGTGGAACTGGTTTGACTCCAAAACTGTTTCAATCATGAACCATTTAGAAACCTCTTAGAAATCCCTCTATTCAAACTCACCCAGCAGTCTACGTAAGAAAGTTTGACAAAGCCTTAGAAACACTTGATTGGGTCCTTTTGAGTAGCAATCCACTAAAGGTAAGAAACTTTAACTCTGACTTTGAATATAGACTTAAGAATCATACAATTGATACATGGAATGTTATAAAGCTGCAAGAGCCCCCAATAAAATCATTTAATAAATTAATTAGTTAAATGCCAAAAAAAATTACTGCCTAATAGTTGGAGACAGGATGGCTTGTTGTTGCAAGTGACACAATGGGTTTAAGTTTGCGATATAT